TTTCAGCTACAATTCACGCAATCCATCATGAAACACTCTCCAATAGTAACATATCACCATTTCGTTAACAAACTTTTCAAAGATATATTGAATCTAATTGTATATGCTAAGAAGACGACATACATCTATCAGAAGACGAAGGACATAAATTTAAAGACAGAATTCAACCGACTCAATAAGCAAACACATAAAGAAGTAAAAGTATACCAAACTAATCAATAGTTACAAGTTTGTTCAGAAATCAAGGAAGACAAAGAGCGCTCATACTGGAACAAAATTAAGAAAATCACCAAATACATACAAGAGATCCTGATCGATCCCAAACTAATGTATAACAATACCGAGTGTGTATTTGACGTACAGAAATGCAACGCTATGGCAGAACATTTTCTAGATGCATTCTGCATGCGAGAAAACGCAGGGTATCTAACACCACCAATACACAATAAGTTTATCTCAGATGTTAGCGAAGACGAATACAATATACATATTCATAAAGGAAAAAAACACCGCGCCAGGACATGACCTGATAACAAAACTTACTTTAAGAAAACTAGATCCAGAGGTTCACAACTATATACGTAGACTCTTTAATTACTATGTACAGGCACAAATATTCCTTTCCGCGTGGAAATTTGGAACCATCATTACAATACTCAAAAGCGACCATTCAAATCAACCAAAAATTACCGCCCATTACCACTCTATTCTCCCATTACTCCTCTACTTCATTACCTATATTATTTATTATTTTATATTATTTTTATTTAACGCCTTCGATAGCCGGGGGCGGCCGATGTCTTCGAAAACGGCCGTGCTAGTTTGAAGTTGTGCTGGAAAATGACGTAGACGATTCGTGTTTGTTATTTATTTTCTGTCCGTTCTAAGTTTACATGTTCAAGTGACATTTTTTGACGTTTCATTATAAAAATGCTAGCCGGAAGTGATCGATTGAAAACGGCCGTGTTTGTTTAAAGCTGTGCTGGAAAATGATGTTGACCAAACAGAAAGTTGTTATCTATCTTATGTCTGTACTAACCTCATTTTTTCAAGTGACATTTTTTGGTCAGTGTGAATACCATCTACAAGAAATATCATTTTGCACTCTGACAGAATGTTGAAGATAACGAAGACTCAACCTTTGATGACGACAACTTAATGTTCGTGTTCAATAAATTTGTTATACCTAGCCAACAATAAAATACTCTCTGCATACAACATATTTCAGGTCAGTTTGATTCGTGTAATGTCCCACCAAGTATAACAGTAGTATGATAAGTCTGACAAACTACCAAGAGCCATTATGTTAAAGTTCCTTTCTTGGAATTCGAAAGAATTTCATTTTTTGACGCGGCAGTGAAGTTGAACCTTTGGACCAAGTGAAAGACAACAAAACAATAATGGTATCCAGACCTTTAAGTTTATTGGTTGTAGCATGCTGTGCTACAACCAATAATAATATTAATTTATCTTATTATATTGTGGACATTTATATACCCACATTGGTACTTTGTACAGATTCCTAATATCTTTTAATTTTTTGATTATCTTCTCAAATTCTGCATCTTATGCTTTATTGTCAACCTAAAAATATAGTAGGAATTAACCTGTTGTTAGTAGAGGTGACGCCGCAGAGGGGAAAAATTCTTACAAATAGATATATTGACAGTGATTGTAATTTAGTGAATAAACTTTTTTATAGTAATACCGGTATCCCGGTTTTAAAAGTTTTGAATACCGGTATTGAGATTTTGGTCCGGTATTGCAAGTCCTAATCGTACAATACGCGGACGACACGACATTGGTCACCCACGCAAAAACCTAATTGAAACAACAAGAAATGCAAACATTCTACAATGAGACACTTGCCTAGTTATTCAAATTGAGACTACAACCCAACCGTTCCAAAGTTCAGCTCTCACTACCTTACCACAATATCAAAGAGAACTCTCCCTACATCCAAACAGAACATGGTAAATTAGGACCTTTGGAAAACATCAAATATCTAGGTATGATTTTAGACAAGAAACTACGTCTTAAAAAACACTACAAAGAAAAAGAACTAGAAGCAATAAGAAGAGCATATGGGAATAATGGAATTTCCACTAAAACGGCTGTACACATCTATAAAGTAATAGTTAGACTTTTGTTGGATTATGAACATGTCCTAACTACAATAAGACCTCGTTAACGCTGATTTGCTATAACGTGGTTTGTTGAAAACTTTAAAAATGCTCAAAATATAGCGGGATTCAAATTATTGCAGCATTTCATTGATTTCTATAATACGATTATTCCCGAATATATACGCTGTCAATCCCCAGAATGTATGCTTGTTTGGTGTATTTACGTTTTGTAAGCTATTACAGAGTGTTCAACACTTTCACGTTCTGCGTAAAACGTAATTAGTTTATGCACCTAGTAATAATAGAGATTGTTGTGTAAGAAAATAATAAATATTTGTGCATTTAAATTTAATCCTTATTTTCTTTAGATTGTAAAAATGAGTGGGTGTAAAGATAATAACAAAAATGACACGAAAAAGCATTTCGCCCGACATTAAAATGCTTTAAATTTGTCTACTTCTACAATAAGAACCATTTTAAAAAGCAAAGACAAAATTAAGTTGTCAGCAACTATTACCACATCGTATAGTGCAGCAAAGATATTTCTATCAAGAACGCTCCATTTTAGAAGAAATGGAAAAACGTCTTTCTATTTGGATTGATGATGAAATCGAACGCAACATGCCGCTAAGTCAAAAAACCATCATGCAAAAGGCTATAAATATTTTGATTCACATTCAAAATGAAAGAGAAGATAAGAGTGAAAATTTTACAGCTAGCCTAGGTTGGTTCGATAATTTTAAAAAAAGAAGCAACCTCCACAACATTCGAACCGCCGGAGAAGAAGCGAGTGCAGATACTGCTGCCGCTTCAATTTTTTCTACAACGTTAAAAGCCATAATTGAAAGAGGAAATTATTCACCAGAATTGGTGTTTAACGTAGATGAAACAAGACCGTTTCACCCTTCTTCTGAGTGGTAACGCCAACTTGTGTATCATGCCAAAACCCTAGTTTACCCATCATTTGGGATTTTAATAAGAAATCTTGGATCACAAGAGACATTTTTCAAAATTGGTTTATCACACATTTTTGTTCATCTGTAAAACGTTACTCTGAACTAAATAATTTTGAAGCAAAAGTTCTATTACTGCTGGATAACGCACCAAGACATCCCATCAACCTATATCGTCGTTAATTCAGCCAATGGACCAGGAAGTTATTGCTAATTTGACGGCACATTATCTTCGTCGCACATTTCAACAACTTATTGATAAAACAGAAGGTGGAGATAAAGAAACAATTTTGTAATTTTGGAAAAAATATAAAATCCTGGATACCATAGGCAATATCGAGGTCACTTGGCAAGAATTAACTAAGAAGTGCATGAATGGAATGTGGAAGAAGATATGACCGGAGGTATCCCAGGATTATCAACGAGAAGAGTCTACTGTTGGTCAAATTGTCAATCTAGGCGAAACAGCAGGACTAGATGTAGATGAGCAGGATATTGAGAAGCTACTGCATGTTTCTGGTGAAGGCCTTACCAACGATGACCTTCAGAAATTGGCAGAACAAGGAATTGAAGAAGGCGAAAACAGTGGTTCTGAAGACGATGAACCAAAAGAAGTTACTACAGATTTTCTGGAAATGATAACGGAAATAGTAGATTAAATTGTAGCGAATGACCCAAATTTTAACAGGAGTGCAAAAGTAAGAAGAGTTTGTATGCGATCGCCTGCTACCGACATTTGTTTAATGAAAGAAAAAGAAAGCGACAAATGACTCTAGACGATTCCTTCGCCAAAAAGTCAACAGTATCAGAAGAGCCAGGACCTTCATCACAAATATAAACTTTATATATATTTGTCCAAATGTTTGTGTTATACATTTTCTCCTAAAATTGTTAGTTTGATCACAAAAAAATAATACACAGGCTCAAGTAAATTAATTCAGAGATTGGTTATTATAACATATGATTAGTCAAAGAAATGAAGTTATGTCAAATTGATCTCAGCATTATTTTATTTTTTGTGATCAAACTAACAGTTTGTTAGTTGTAAAACATCAAGAGATAAGAAAGTTGCAGATTTTTTACCCTTAACTTTAGAGAGCTATAACTTCAAGGACCATAAAGTTATATGAAAGACAATTTCATCAAAGATAATTTTCATTGAAAAATCACCCCTTAAAATCTTTCGCGTCAATTTAGATCCATCCTGTATAAAATATTATATAAAATGCAAATTACTAGGTATTACAGTTTAAAATTAAAGTAAAATTTGGTTATTTTTGGTCGCATCTTCCCGTTTCCCTATTTACTAGCTGTTAAAATGACCTCATATAACGCTGTTTGGTTTAACGATCCTATCTCCAGGAACGGATCTACCGCGCTAAACAAGGTACCATTGCAAAGATGCGCCATCCGAATAATCCACTACACAATATTCAAAATAAAAAGCTATATGAATGGACAAACATAACACCAATAACAGAAAGACATTGAACAGATATTGATTGAATTATTTAGAAACAACAACAAAAATCCTGGATAGAAGACTACCATAGCCAAATAAAGATATATTCTCTCTCTGTTAATATTTGCTTTTAACTAACAGAAAATAATGTTGTATACTCATATACACCATTTTTAGTAAACAAAAACTTCATATTCAGTAAAAGGTGTAGAATAAAATCCATAACATTTGTGTAACATTAAACATCTACCTAATTTTGGTTAATTTTACAATTATTGAAAAATTTTAAATTTCATCTCAACTCATAAATATCAATTTTTGTATGAATTACATTTATTTTGAAATTATCATTTGAGATGTAAAGTTAAATTAAAAAAAATAAATAAATAAAGATACCATCTATGAAACTGCCAATAAACTGGTTAAATTGCTGCAATAATTTCCAATGTTTTTTATCACTCTCAAATTTAGCTACTGGAGGAACAGTCATTAAAATGATTTTGGAACATTTTAATTTCAAAAACTGGAGTAGTTGGGTATAAGATGAACACATAACTTGATAATCTGTCTTCTACAAAAAAAAGTTATGATTAAATTTATACTTCAAAATCAGGTTTAAAAATTACTTGAATAAAATCATTAGTCCCAATTAAAAGTATAACATTTTTATGAATCTCAAATTCTCCTTTTAATAATCGTTTCTTTAATTCATCTATTTTTTGACCACTTACACAGTAACCAATACGTCTTATACCATCTGAAAGTTTACTATTTTAATTAATTTTAATTTAAAAAATTTTAATTACCAGAATATAATGATTTAAATGATAATAATTGTTCGGAAAATCTCATAAGTTGACTATCACCTAATAATTGATAATCTTCATATAAAGGTACCTTAAAAAAGCATAAAATGAATTATTTAGGTAATAATAAAGTTTTTTTTTTAATTAAAACGTACAATCGAATTATTTTCAGTAGTTTTCGCTCGTTTAACTCTATTATGATCATCATTCCAGCTCGATTTCCTTTTACCGGGTGTACTTGCACATTTTGGGGTTGATAATAATAACCGTTCTGGAGTTTTCGGATACTTTTTACTTCCTAAACGGGAATCCACGTTGTCCTCGATTTCTCCCCCAACAGTTTTTGTTGCAACTCTTGGCAAGGAAAAATCAAGCATACATCTTCTTTTCGTTTTTTTCGGTTCACTTTTCACTACCCTAGAAGGTACTTTTATTATCGGTGTGGAATTCTGATCCATTTTCTTACTACGTCTTATAAATGTGATCTAAAACGTTTTTTGTGGGTAGTTTTCAAACCGTATGGTTATATCGGAATGATAATAATACCAACCTTAGAATAATAAAAATCACTTTAACAAGATTTTATTGAAAATAATCGTATGAATAAAATTAAATCTATTTTATTTTAAATAATATTTTATTGTTGAGTGGTATTTGAGTTTATTTTGTTTAAATATTTTGAATAAAAATTAAAAAAAAAATTTACGAAAAGAAATTGTGCTTTTTAATTTAGAAAATGATTCAAATTACTCATTCAAATGTAATATTGAGCTAAATAATGCAACATTTTAAATAAATTAATAATAAATGTTATAAATTTGTTCGATACTTTTTAAGTTGGTATTGGATAGCGGCAATTCGCCGAAAATGTCAGTTAAATGTCAACCATAAAGCCGTAACTACCATCTAATACAAATCGTGTTTTACAAACATTTTTCTTCAAAACTTGACTTAAACTCATTAAAACTCTTTAGAAACATGTCTAAAACAGAGGAAGAAGGTAGTGAAGTACCGGATACCGGTGAAAATTCGGTAAGTGCAATAAAAAATGCGCTTTTAATAGATTACAATTGTTGTTATTTTATAATTCTTAGTAGGCTAACCGTTTTATTTATTTATTATAAAATTGTTTAAATCAACTAACGTAACATCACTTTGTGTAACAGAACGAATCTACTTCCGATACATTATCCTCAAGGGGTAAAGAAGATTTCGAAACTAAAATCGAAACTGACCGCAGCAAAAGATTTGATTATCTTTTAAAACAAACCGAAATTTTTTCTCACTTCATGACAAGTCAAAATGCAAAAGGAAAAGAGAAACCTAAAACAGGAAGACCAAAAAAACCTAAACCGGACGATTCTCTTGGAGAGTAAGATATCAAAACATGAATTTTATTATTATTATTACTACTACTTTTGTATCATTTAATTTATACTTAATCAGAGTATTCAACAATGATTATAAAGCGTTTGAATTTGGCCCACTTATTAATGTTTTGAAGCAATAAATTTAAACACCTTAAAATCATTGTTGAAGACTCTGTTTATATATACATATTTATCGTTATAGTCACAGACATCGTAAAACAGAACAAGAAGAGGATGAAGAACTTTTGGCTGAGTCAAACACTAAAAGTAAAAACACGATACGGTTTGATATATCGCCGCCCTATATAAAAGGTGGCGAAATGCGTGATTATCAGGTAAGGGGCCTTAATTGGATGATCTCTCTTTATGAAAATGGCATCAACGGAATATTGGCCGATGAGATGGGTCTTGGTAAAACGTTACAAACGATCTCGTTGCTCGGATTTATGAAACACTACAAAAGTATTGGTGGACCGCACATAGTCATCGTTCCTAAATCAACACTGCAAAATTGGATGAATGAATTTGGTAAATGGTGTCCCTCTATTAGAGCGGTTTGTTTAATCGGTGATCAAGAAGCTAGGGTAAGTTGAGTATTTTTAAATATATTAAATTGTTGTTTGTTTATTTTTTTTGTTAATATTTTATTTCTTATCAATATATGGAATTCAATCCTTTTTCTGAACCTTTTTAAGGTCATAGATTTTAATAGCAAAACACTTAAATGTTGATATGGAAATATTGTGAGTTAGTTGACTTACTTGTCTTATTTCCTGTCGCTCCTGGTGGAGCATAAGGCAGCAGTAAAGACGCGTGTGAAGTTGGCCATAGATTGTAAACAGAAAAAAATGCGTGATCAGTGTATTTAATCGATCTAATTTCAATGGCATAGTATTCATGGTCGCCTCTTGTTTCAAATTCGAAAAGAAAATTTTCCTATAGTCCGGAAAAATCGATTTTCTGCAAACTTTCGCAAAATTCGGCCCGTTCGAGGTTTTTAATCGATCTAATTTCAACGGCATCGTATTCCTGGTGTTTTTGCTTCAGATTCGAAAAGAAAATTTTCCTAACCATTTCTTATATTCTGGAAAAATCGATTTTCTTGAAACATAAGCAAATGTCGGCCTGTTCGGGGTTTCTAATCGAACCCATTTCAACGGCATTATATTCCTGGTCGCTTCTTGCTTCAGAATCAAAAAGAAAATTTTCCTAACCATTTCTTATATTCTGGAAAAATCGATTTTCTTCAAACTTTCGCAAAATTCGGCCCGTTCGGGGTTTCTAATCGAGCTAATTTTAAAACCATCGTATTCTTCTTAAAGAAAAAGGTGGTGGGCTTGAAATGTGAGTCTTCGATGAAGGGTTTAACAAAACATGGGCATACATTAGGGTGTCCCTTATATGGCAAAAAAATTTTTTTTGAGAATTTCGAAACGCATTTATATATTAGCATTTAGCTTATATATTTAGCATTTATAAAAAAAGTAGAGGGTATTACTTTTTTTATAAATGCTAAAATGTACTTAAATATGAAATTTCATATTTGTAGCATGATTGCAACCCGTGCCGACCGAGCTCTAAAGTTTAATAAAAAATGGTGTTTTGGCCTGACATTTTGGTTTGATCCAAAACTAATTAAAATGCAACAAATAAAGTAAATATGAGTAAAAATAAAATAAGATCAACATAAACTTTTATTTAAATACAATTTATAATAATAATTAATTAGGGTAACTTCTCTTTAGTGTAGTTTTTTTACAGTCTGGATACAGATTTCTATGTTCCTGAACACAACGCAACAAAAACTGTTTTTGCTCTTCTTCAGCCGTGATAAGTCCATTAAAATCTTGCATTAATTTAACAGCTCTTTCAGCAGTGTCATTTACGACCTTCAAACGACTTATTCGTCTTCTAGCTTCCAAAAAAGTAGGATTGTCACCCCAAGAAGATATATCTTCCCGAAGAAAACTGTCGTCGATCTGCAGTCGAGATAGAAATTGTTTGCTTCTTTGAGTCACAAAATCATCCAGCGTCATATCTGAAAGAAAGAAAAAACAGTTTAAATAAGCAAAAACTAAGCCACGAAACTTTGAAAAAAGAAACAAGAAAATATTAAGCTTACTAAACAAATTTTGCGTAATTTCTTCCTTCGATGGGACATAGCCTTTAGCGGAATGTGAACTTTCGTCTCTGTTTAAATTATTTATCATTTTTGTCTTGGTTTTGGAATCAACTTCTTCATCAAACAGTGATAACATGACTGTTTCTTCACCCAAATACCATAAATGATGAACAAACTTGCTTATGGATGCCTTGGAACTTGTCGCGTCTACTTTTTCATATTCTTTTAGAGCTTTCAAAAAGCACAAGTCTTGGTTAGGTGCTTTAATTGCCACTGTGCATTCGAGCCAAGGTTTAGTATACAAGGTGACGATAAATAAGCAAACATCTTGTAGAGCATTTTTGTCCTTTGCAGTAATTTTAAGTTGCGATTGAAGCAAACATATTTTTATAGAATAGATCGCTCTCGCCATCCATCGCGCTTGATGCAAAGCTCCGGGGGGCCTGAGTTTTAGTTTATTCTCTGTATCTCCTCCTAAGAACACAACGCATAGTTCAACCAATTCGCGGTAATCGTCTCTAATAAAAGGTTTTTCCAGTTCAGTCTTATAAAAAGTTAACAAATATGTAATGTTTGTCTCAGCAATATGTGCTTTAACGAAATTCAGAGGTGGCTCAATGTTATCGGTGTTAATATTTTTCCAATTATCTCTTAACTTTTTGAAAATTGGAATATCTGGGCTACTTGTAATATGCTTTACCTTGGTTTCAAAAACAGCTTTAAGGACCAACTCATAAATATGATGACGACAAGCAAAAAGCAGCAATTCCCTTTCTAAAGTCTGCTCCAAAATAGCACAAGCTCCTCTGAAACGGCCAGTATTTGAAGCTGTTGTATCGCAGCACATTATCTGTACTTTATCATGGAGGTTCCAGTCAAAGAGTGCAGTTGAAATGGCTTTAGCTTGATGTTTTCCAGAAGAACTCTCTAATTTTGGTACTGCAAGAAGCTGTTCTCTATCGTCAAATGAAGCAATAATTGGCAAGCGTTCTTCTTTTGAACTTCGTACATCCAATCCAGGTAATAGTTTTCCATCCCAATGGACTGTGACTACGTCAGGCAAATTATTCTGGAAGTCAGTTTTTATTGCTTCTGCCCTGGATTTTCTCGCCTGAGTACGAATTCGCTGAATCGAGGATTTGTTAATAGGGAAATCATCGCTGTTCAGACCAAGCGCTTCTACAACCGCATGGAGAATGTAAACTGAGTCCCTTATGCTTAATTGGCATCGATCTAAAGCTGCTACCAGTTTAGGAGTTATGAAACTTTTCGTGCCTCTTTTAGAACTTTTTTCAGGGCAAGGAATCTGAGTACTAAGTTCAGAGTTCGAAATCTGTTCCTCATCCGAATTCTCAAGACATTCCAAGCTATCTATCGAAGAAGTAGATGCAACAGCCAATAACTTTCTTTGTTTTACCTTTCTTTCCTCTTCTTTCAATTGTCTTTGCCTAACTCGTTCTTCTTTCTCCGCCAATTTTTTGTCAATTCCACCTAAGCATCCCGGCCGACCTGGCTCTCTCTGTTTCCTTAAAAATTCTTTGTCTTCCTCTATTTTCATTCTGTTGAAGGCATCAGCATGTGCAATATCAAATAAGTTATCAAGGTCTTTTACAAAATTATTTTCACGATTTTTGAACGTCACCTGAGTTTTCTTACAGTTTTTTTGCAGCTCCCTCCAAACATGATATAAATCAACAAGTTTCTTCACGCAGTTAGGAAATGCCTTCGTAGGAATTCTGGCTTTTTCCCAAAATATAATGCACTCTCTTATAACAAGATTCGCACTTTCACTAACAGTCAGCTTGACTTCATGAATATTGTAAAATAAAACGGTGAGAACTTGTCGAATAGATGGTAATTTTGCACCATTTATCTGGTGGCTTGGCAGTCCGATAAGGTAAATATTTTGTTTATCACTTCGTGATTCCACAGACATCTTCACACAATAAACAACAACGCACTAATAATGTTAGAAATCACGTATGAAATGACAATTGAAACTCGCAGTAACAGGTTAAAAACTATGGACAAGTTAAAAATTCAAGTCGGCACGGGTTATCGTTTATAAATCGGGCTAATATTTATTTCTAGACTATATTAGGTCAATACGAAAGTTTTTAGAAGGTATGCGTAAAAATATATTGAAATTGAAATTTAAGGGACACCCTAGCATATATACATAAAAATTTTTTGGTAACATGAAATATATTGGCTGTAAGTCGCTGGAGACTACGAAAAAGAAATAATATACTACTTTAAGAAAATTCAGGACAATTGCAATCAGTATAAAAATGAATAACAGTTAAAGAAAAACAATGATTTTTCAAGCAGACGTGGACAAGTTTATTAAAACCAATACAACACAAAAATTTGGTTGAAAACTGGTTCAACATTTTTAAAAACAATATTCTCAATCAAAATGAATTAATAGACAAACCGTCCAGATTTATTCGTAAAATCAGAAATTATGTTCTAAGTGAACACAACGAAGTCAGATATAATATTAAAAGAACTAAATGTGCAACGCGCGCACGACAGCCTGCAAAAGAATTTGAAGAATCTTGGGGAAAACAAAAAAAAACAGACGTATTACATACAAACACATAAAAGCGGCGTACTCAAAGAAATTTAAAACAGACCTGCCAAAAAAATTGTCTTATAGATCGAAGGTTCGTATGGACATTCAACCGGCAAGGGTTTCTAAAGCGATCGGTAAAAAGTGCTTCATCTTCTATGCACCAAAAATATATAACTTGTACAAGAGTTTTATATCAGTACGTTACCAGTCTATGAGCTCGAGAAACACCAACTTTGTTGTGAGAGAATGGTTAAAAACCTTAACGAATATTGGTAAATTAAGTGATATTCTACAATAGCATTCCCTGTAATTATTTTGTTTTATTTTCCATTTGTAAGCGTTTTCTTCAATTTCTCTTAATCGCTACTTATAGATAAATATGACTGTACTACAATACCTGAGCTAAGTAAATTGTAAAGCCTATAGGTCACTAATTATTGTAAATTTCTCACAATTCTGTTCGACAGAATTAGTGGTGTATTCTCAGTGAATGCTGGGATATTACCTTTAATATTAGCTGTGTTTGGTACACTTGCTATAAATACTCCTAGTGTAGCAAGTGTAGTGCAGTTGACAACTCTCAGTTTTCAACACATTTTCAAAGTGCATAAGTGTAACAATTTTAGGTGTTTGGTAAAACGGATTATTATGACAGTTATAGGTTATGTAATCTTTATTATTTCTGTAGGAAGTTGAATAATTTATTATTGATCAAAGAATCAAGATGAATAAATCAAAAAAGGAAATGTTGCCTGTAGTGACCCTATTAGAGTCTGACACCGAAAGTGAAGACAATGATATGATTTTTGAAGAATTGGACAGCGATGATGAAGAAAATGTATTTTTACTTTTAAGTAAAAAAGATAAAAGAACTTGCATCGATAAATACTTTGAGGATGTAGTTCCCAAAT